CTCAAGAGGACAGGAATGGACTGTCAATTCCTCAAGTTAATACAAGCTATCTACGAACGCTGACAGCTAACATCATAGTCAATGGAGAAAAGATGGTATCAATCCCACTGAAAAAGGGGACCAAACAAGGATGTCCTTTGTCTCCACTTCTATTCAATTTTGTACTGGAGGTCCTAGCTAATAGCATAAGACAACAGAAGGACATCAAAGGTATTCAACTTGGAGAGGAGGTGAAATTATCACTGTTTGCAGACGACATGATTCTGTGCATTGCAAATTCCAAAAGCTCTACAACCGTAGTACTGACAGAAATAGAGGAGTATGGAAGAGTGACAGGATACAAGATCAACAAACAGAAGTCCACTGGTTTGCTATATACATCGGACGAGACCATGGAAAACGAGATCAAGAAGGCAATACCCTTCCCAATAACCAAGAACAATTTGAGATATCTAGGGATTTATTTAACAAAAAAAAAAAATACAAGGAAAACTATAAGACCCTACTACAGGAAACCAAAAGCAACCTCTACAAATGGAAAAATATCCCATGCTCATGGATCAGAAGACTCAATATAGTACAGATGTGTATCCTACCCAAGGCACTGTATAAGTTTAAAACTATCCCGATTCAAACACCAACAACCTTTTCCAAAGAACTGAAAAACTGACCACCAATTTCATATGGAGAGGTAAGAAGCCCGAATTATCAGAGAACTCCTCAAGAAGGACAGTCAGAGGCTCGCTTTACCTGATTTTCACACCTACTACACAGCCACAGTGGTTAAAACAGCGTGGTACTGGCATAATCACAGATACACAGATCAATAGAAAAGAACAGAAACCCCAGAAATAAAGCCATCAGCATATATATAAGGGCCCTAAAAGCATCAAGTGGGCTGGCGACGCCTATTTAACAGTGGTGCTGGAAACAATGGAAATCCACATGTAGAAAAATAAAACAGGATGTCTATCTCACCCCATGCACAAGAACAAACTCAAGGTGGATCATGGACCTAGAAGTAAAATCCTAAACCATAAGGATCATTAGTGAAGGAATGGGGACAAACCTAAGAACCTTGGTCCAGGGAATACAAAGGATAACTGCAATAGGGCAGGGTTCACACACAAAGGAACCTGAAATCAACAAGTGGGATTTAATAAGGATAAAACACCTGTATACATCAAAAAACTTCCAAAAGGGTAACAAGGCAACCCACAGAGTGGGAGATGATTTTTAGCAACAACAGAACAGACAAAGGGCTTATTACAAAAATCTACAATATCCTTCTAAGTCTACAAAAAGAGGAAAACAGTTAACTATGGTTTGAGGTGGGGGAGTCAGCCCCCCACCACTAATCGTGGGTTTAATTAGCACATATGTATGGTTGAGATATATAAATATTATATTAAAGTCACTGAGCGCATGAGAGATAAATGAGATATTAAAATAACAGAGTCAGACACATTTCATGATAGCAATGCTCACCTCAGCTCCTGCTTGGTGGTCCACCTGGAGAGAGGGGGAAGGGAAGGAGGACAAGGGGAAAGGGAAACAGGGCAGGAGAGGGAGCCAAGGGAGCCAAGGAGAGGTCAAGGGAGAAGCAGAGGGGGGGGGCGGGGGCGAGCGCTAGCTCTCTCAATTGCTAACCCAGGTCTATATACCTTTGTGGGCGTGCAAGCCCACTAATTACAGGTAAAGACATGTCACAGGAAGGGGTTGCACTATAGGTTATACAGTAATGGAAGGGGGTGGTCTAGAGGCGTACATGCAATAGGAAGAGGAGGGATTGGGGGTATTCATGTAACAAGATGGGCGATCCTAGATTCAGGATGGCAGCTTAACTTTGGATGTCACTTAGCGGGTTTGATCCTTCTCTGGATCTCCATAGGAACCATTATCAGTAGGGTGTGAACCCACCTACAGGAACCAAATTAATGACTGCAGGCCTGTCCATTGTCCTTAACAGCAGGGAGCAGGGGGCCTATCTTAGTCTGGTGACTGACTGTCTTCAGGGAGGATGTCTGTAAGCATCTGACCTCCCCCCACAGTCAACCCCACTAAGAAGTGGGCAAAAGAACTAAAAAGAAGTTTCACTAGGGAGGAGTCCCACACAGCCAATAAATATAAGAGAAAATGCTCTTGATCATTAGCCATCAGAGAAATGCAAATCAAAACAACCATGAGATACCATCTAACACCTCTGAGGCTAGCCCAAATCAGAAAATCAGAGGGCAACAAATGTTGGAGGGGATGTGGTGAGATAGGAACTCTCCTACATTGCTGGTGGTTTTGTAGATATGTACAGCAGCTATGGAAAGCGATACTTAAAAAAAATGGAATTGATCTACCTTATGACCCAGCCGTCCCTCTACTGTGCATATACCCAGAAGAAGTAAGAAATAAACCGCATCCAGTCGTATGCTTATTGTAGCACAATTCACAATTGTAAAGAGTTGGAAACAACATAAATTCCCATAGGTTGATGAGTGGATCAGTAAACTCTGGCACATACACACAATGGAGTACTATGCATCCCTAAAAAGCACTGATGAGCACATGAAACAGGTCTTTTCATGAGAAGAGTTAGAACAAATTATGCTAAGCAAAGTCAGCCAATCACAAAAGGAGAAGCACAGCATGAGTCCACTGAGATAAGTGTAATCAGCACGGTAGGTATAGAAAATAAGTCACCTATATCACAGCATTTGGGTTGAGATACAGAGAGTCGGGAGTTAGGCTGGACGAAACTCAAGGAGGTACATGTTAGCCCAACACAAAAATGGGGAAAGGAAGGAGGGGGGAGGAAGCAAAGGGGGGCTGGCAAAAGTGAAATGATGACGGAGGGAGCAGGGCACTAAGCCATCCAGGGGGACAGTACTGGTTTTGTCTCCACAGAATTAAAGTGGGCATGCAGACCCTACCACAGTGCACCAAACCATGAGGACAATGTGGCCCCATGGAATACATGAAAAGAGAGAGCTACAGGACTGGCCCCAACCAGAGCCAAACTGACGCCCCCACCCCACACCCCACCCCGGAAGTGAGTGTGGCGGGGAGCAGCACTGAACCTACAGGTTGAGGGCAGGGGCCAGCATGCCACACCCACGCGGAAGCAGACTGGGAGAGAAGAAGAGAAAGAGAGCTGGCCTGGATCCCACGCGGGCACACCAGGCCTGGAGGATGAAGTCCCTGAGGGGAGCTAATGGGACACAGAGGGGACTGGGCGGCTGACAACACCTCATGTCACGTCCCCTTACTAGAGCAGACTGTGACAGAGGACATTTCTGGGGTCACATGGTGGGGAGGTAGTGCGGTCTGAAGCCCCCACAATGGAGTGAACCAAGAAAGGAGCATACCAGACCAGCAGCTGGAACAAGGTAGAGCTACGAAGCCCCTGAGGAGCCCCCAAGGGGGGCGCTCCAGGACAGTCTTGAAAGCCAGTGAACAGACCCAGAATTTTTGTATTATATTTCTTCTCTATTTTTTTTCTGCTCTTTTCTCCCCTTTCCTTTTCTTCTTCTTTCGTCTCCTTTAATCAGTTTGGGCTACGTATGTAGGATAGGTATGGAAGGCATGCCCAAGGAGAGAGCAGTGGGACCACGGTCCTGGGGAGACCTGGGGGGCGATGGTGGGATGGGAAGCAAGAGGTGAGCAGGCAGCACCAAAGACAGGGGAACAACTGGGATGTTGGAGTCAATAACAAGGAGGAGATAGGGATCGGGGGTGGTGGTGCCAGAGCAACAGCAAACTAGCTAAGAGGAGGTACCAAAAGGCTGAAATAAGGGGAAAGTGATGGTGGGGCAGGAGGAAGGTAAAAGGAAACAGAGAAAGGACCTAGGAAGCAAAGCAATGGATAGAGGTATAAACATAGTGGTGTACATATGTAAATACACTAATAAAAAAATAGAGGTATTGGCCTATGTACATATATTTATACAGTAATACACTAAGGTAGGGGATGGACTTTGGGCCTCTGCTCATACCCTCCCTCAATACAAGAACACTTTGTTCTAGCAAATCGGCACTCTGATGTTCACCCTCCTGACACAACCACTGAAGAAAAAATGGGTGAAGAAGGCAGATGGTCCCTAGCTATTAAAAGATAGAGCGTCTGGGGTCTCAAAGGCTTGAAGTTACACAAGCTGCTATTCAGCAGAGAAGCAAGTCCACATGGAAGAAGCACACCGCCGGTAAGATCATGAGGAATCATAGGGACTGGGTAATAGGAGTCAGCAGAGACATAACAAACAAAAACATATTTTTGAGAACGAAGGGGGGTATGGAGCAGAGATCAAAAGCCCATCTGTAGACAATGGAACAATCGCCCCACAGAGGGGACCACAGGGAAGGGATGAGTCAATCAGGGTGCAGTAAAGCATCAAAGAAATACACTATATACCTCTGGTTCCTTGAGGCTTCCTCATCCCCCACTACCATGACCCCAGTGCTGCTTCTCAATTCAGACTAGACCGGACCATGTACACAGGTATAGATAAGAGATGGGAGCTCACAACACAGAGATTCCGGGAACAGGAGTGGGAATAGTGATACCAGTAGGGTAGGGGGAAGAGGGGCAGAGGAAGGGAGAAAGGGGAGAGGAAGGGAGAAAGGGGGAACCGATCGCAATGATGGGCACATAACACACACCCCTCTCCAAGGGGAAGAACAACAGAAAACATGGGGGGAGACAATGGTCGGTGTGAGATATAAAAATAATAATGTGCAATCTATTAAGGGCTTATGAGGGTGGGGAGGCGTGGGAAGGGACAGAAAAGAGGAGCCGTTACCAAGGGTTCAAAAGTAAATGTCTAGAAAAGAATGACGGCAACATATGTATAAATTTGCCTGATACAAGCGATGTATAGATTGTGACAAGAGCTGTAAGAGTCCAATAAATAAATAAATAAATAAATAATTTTAAAAGAAGTGGCTGAATAAAGTGCCAAAAGCTCTCTTTTCATCATCCCAAAATTCTCCCAGAAGAACCAAAGGAAGACCTGTAGGAATGAAAAGCGTCTGTCCTTGCTTCACCGAACACTTGTAGCATTTCTCCACCTGGTCCCCAAAGAACATCTCATTCTGATTAGAGGAACTGCTCCAGCACTCAAAGAGAGTCAGGTTGGCATTGGTTGGGCGGATTAAGTAGAAAATCTTTTCACCCTGAAACACACAAAAAAGTTTTAAGTTCCAAATACCAAGCATTTCCATTACAAGTAATTATTCTCTCATCTAATCTAAGACCATGTTAGTATGCCATCCCCCCCCAAATCCATCTAAGGATAATTTTCATATAGATTTAGAAATTTTCCAAAGGCCTTTCTGTACTTTTGTCCTTCAAATTAGGAAAAATGGACAGTGAGGGCTCCTATTTTAGATGAAATGCTAAATAAAAACTGGTTCCTATAGAAAAGTAGATCAATAATAATATAAGGAGCATTTAAGGTCACATTACTGATGCAAAGAAAATTTAATTTGCCTTTAAATGTTATATACAGAATGTTACCTCTCACACTTGCAATCAAAGGCAATAAATGTTTAAAAGATCAGTAATTGCCCAAGGACTTCTGAAAGATATGGTCACGTTGGAAAAATATTTTATTTCCTAATTATGTTTTGCCTGGATAATAACCAGAGATAATGTGCCAATATAAAATAAAAAACCATTAAGGAACCCTGGTGGTATAGTGGTTATGAGCTGGGCTGCCATCCAAAATGAAAAACCATTAGTATAAAGATATCCCTAATCCATAGCTTGATTTATTTAACCAAATTCACAATAAGAATTTTCAATGTAAAAAATCAATAATATTAGCAATATCTGATAAACAGTTGTAGAAATTGGCATCAAGTTTACAGACCATATAGTATTAGCAATGTTTTCTTCATTATTTTGATAACTATACTATGGTTTAGTTGTGTTCTGGAACTATACAATGAATTATTAAGAGATACCATGTTTATAGCTACTTTCAAATGTTTCCAGCAAAAAAATACACATATATTATCATTTTATTATATTAACTTTAAAAGAGAGAAAAGGGTGCAATAAAATGTGAGGAATCTGGGTGAACAATACACAGGAAATATTCCTATTATTTTTCTGTAACAAAATTATTTTTAGAAAATTAAATCTAACATTTATATAACACTGATTATTACATATATTCTAATTTTTTCCTGATATAATAATGAATATAATACTAGTTCAAGAATTGTAATCATTTGGATAAGAGCTACACCCAAGTTTTCTGCTCATTTCTTCAAGCTTATGAAAATAAAATTAAATAGTATGAACAAAGATGAAAAACAATTACACTATTTAAAACTGTTTTCCAGACCTCAAAACTCCTTTATATTTATTGATCATCAATATGTTAATTATAAAATCATAACAACCAATGAAACGCAAACTATAGAAAGTTTGACATTAAAAGAAAAAACCCTCATGCTTTATCTTGATTATAAAGTCAGAATTGACTTGTGGCAGTGAGTTTGTATTTTCGGGGATGGGGGGTGGGGTGGAGGGTGGAGTGATTGGTATGGTTGTAATCACACGACTACATAAAATGTTAAAACTCATCAAATTATATGCTTAAAATGGGTGATTTTTTATGGCATATAAATTATTCTTTAATAAAGATGGGGAAGGGGAAACTTCTTATAATTTTAACAGTTATTTCTGAATTAAGTATGGACATTTCCATACATGGAAGCAGGAATATAAATTGTTTCAATGAAGAAGATAGTAGTTGGGAACATTAGGCATCTGTTGGTATTCAAAAATCAAAACTGCAAAGTAAAAACAATTCATCTCTGCCATCCAAATAGAATCTTGGAAGTGGGTAGGACTCAACAGCCTGTTTTGTGCTGTCATCTGATGAAAATTCAGAGGCCTAAGGCCTGATCATCTCTAAAAGCCATATATATTCCTACCTTGAGCACATGGTACCAGACTGAGGTGCCGCCAAAGTCAATGTGAAAGTCTGTATAGCTATCCCGCACACTCATGAGGCAGTACTTCTGCACACTAGGCCTCTCAAAAACACACTCCTCTGGCCACAAGTTTTCCACCCATGAGAGCTTCCGAACAATCTTGGGTGTCTCCACAAGGTTTGAAAGCCTAATAAGGAAGGAGTGGAGAGCAGATGTCAGTATGCTGCAGTAGACTAAGTTCAACGGCTTCCAATTCTTCTGAATATTGAAGACTTTCTTCAACTGAAGCCTAAATGAAATGTCTATAGCTTAATGACAGGTAATACAGAGAAAATATTCTCTCTATAGAATTCCTAAAGGTATATAGGACACATTTCCCTCAGTTTAGTCTATATCCTCAGTCTACTCTGCTCCAGAATTCTCAAGCCCAGCTCCACAGCCTTCCCCAGTTGAAGGTGACCATTTCCTCTACTAAATGCTCATACTTCCCTTCTCTCCCATGAAGTCCACTCACTTGCCAACAAATTATCACTTTTTTTTTACTGTTCCTATCTTGTAGTGTCTCTTTTATGAGGAATCATCAAACTGGTCCAGTACAGGTTATTTTTGTTCTATGTAAAGCCACAAATGTTACAACAGATTATGTTTCTCTCTTTGTTCTGATTTTGGAGAACCTTAGTAAAATCTCTATCTCCAACAAACATCCAGACTACTCATTTTGTCTATGGACATTCTATTTCCCCATCTTTATCCTTCTTTTGTTCTAATTTCCCCTTCATTTTCTCCTCTATTTTGTATAGTATTCATCTCTGTAAGCTACTTCAAATGTTACTTCAGGATTCAATACAAATAAA